CCACCGTGTCCGACTACCTATCTGCCTACCCGACCATATCCTCACTGGTTGCCACCACAAACTCCGTGTCACTGCTGCCCTCAGGGTTTCTATCTCGGTTTGTGTGCTGATTGATCTTAGACAAATACTAAGGTCTGTCGTCGGAGTCGTATATATTTACCATCAAGGTGAATGGATCGCATCTCTGTCTTTATTCAGTTGATTGTTCTTGCTCTTGTGTCTGTTTTGTCGTCTGATCCGTTGTCTTTCAGTAATTCAGTCAGTCAGTCACACGAACCTAATTCTCACTGATGTTCCGTTCCCATTAATTCTTTCCTCATAATTCTCATCCTCCTTGGTCCTCTGTTCCCGGTCCCCCGGACTTTATTTGACTTTGAATCCATTTACGAAACTATCCTCGGTTATACGGAAATAAAGCCATGTGAAGATGTGTAAAACTGTCCTGTTCGGACTGTGATATATATATATATATATATATATATATATATATAATACAGTATATAAATAGAGAAACAACCCCTGAGTATGCAACATGGGATTATTTTTTTACTTTAATTTGAGCCTCCGAAAACCGCACTGTGGTCGGGAGTGGGTGTCGAGTTGCGGCTGGTCACCCCGCCCATGCATCTCACTAAATGCTGCCATACAACCAGGACCGCCTCTGTGATAGGCAGCTCCCAATCACGCCCATGCAATAGTTCTGCCCAATATCTTTCAGAATGCATTGAGCCCGTTCCTGTGAGCCGTCCTTATTTGCCATTGTCCGCTCACGTTTTCTCACCGAGATCCGAACAGGAAATGGCATATTCTTGCTCTAAGGATGTTGAGCTTACAAAACGATCCCTTCTCAGACATCGAAATATCATTCGTTGTGGACTTCGGTTCGCCACAGAATTCTGCCGACTACCAGAGAGACGGCGCTTTTTAACTTGTACGTGTTTTGTGCTGGTGGGTGGGGTCATTGTTTTGACCCACAGTTTATGAACTTTTGTCAATCAACCACTATCTCTTGGATCATCACTAATCTCTCCAGAAGTGAGCACTACTGGTAGTAATACTATGAATGACTACGACAGCACTTTACTTGATGTCTAAGGTCGTTAACAGCGCGCGCCCTGTTGTTCCACTGTTACTGCATAATTCAGAGACTTGCGTTGTCCTATACGTGACATCCGCCCCTTGCTTTAGGACTGCGAATTATTCCGCCGCGCACAATTTCAAGGGTGATTTCGTGATGTTGCTGGTCAACGGTGTCGCCAAACTCTGGTGTTTGGTTGCCGACATTTATTGCTATAGAACATGATGGGAATGTCCGAAGGGGGATCATTCGTGACGAGATTTGCATGTAGATGCGGAACAAGTCCTAGGTCAAGGTGATGATTTCGTTTCTGTGCTCATAGAGGTTACCACTGTGTATGAACCAGATTCATAGTCTGCCATAAATGTAATTCTCTGTCGGTATGTTAACTCCTAAATTCCCGATTGGTAGTTTGCATTCGAACGTTAGACAAATGTCTCAGTGACATCGCAGATATTGCAACTGGACTGGTCTACCACCATAATTCGCTTGCTGTTAGTCCAGGGGGAGGGACGAGACGGTTAGGTCGCATTATTCTTCTACCTGTTTCTTATCACGTTCTCTCAGTCTTTTCTGTCTAATTAGGAGTACAAGCTCAAATAAATTTGGTGAGGTAGTACAGGAGGTCGACGGTACACTGACTCATACTCAGCGGCGGCGTCTTGAGCGATGGACAGGTCATCGACACTAGCCCTTTCACTTTCTGCTTCAACTGGGCAAGTGCTCTCAGCTGATATCTGTCCTACATGTGGAATTGAGGTTACCAGGGGTTTAAATTACCTCAAAGGGTGGAAGGCCTCCGATCTGGATGGGTTTTCCAGATTGGCTTATAGGATGAAGGATCAACGTTGGTCCTGGAGTTGATCAATCTCTTCGGTTCACTATGGAAGGGGGATAAAGGTCATCTTACTGATTTGCGAGAAGCGTGATAGATCCTATTGTAAGAACTACAACGGGATTAATCTACTTTCTTCCCCAAGGTTATCGCTTTCATTGTACTGTCGACTATCCGCCACAGGAGAATCGGGCTTGTTTTCGACCTGGTGGATGTTCGCGGAATTTTAGAACATTTCTTTGGTAGACTCCACATTTCTGTCTTTCTCGATCTAAGAGCGACTTTCAATTCAGTCCACCGCTCCATACTCTGGCGCTGCCTGTCCTTGAATAGTGCGCCTGAGAAGTTTATTTCAATATCACGATCTCTTTATACTAGAGCGGTTCGAACTCAAGGCACTTTTTCGCCCGAGTTCACCACAGAAAGCAGTGTTCTTCAGGGTTACCCTCTATCCTTTTCTGTTCGACTTTGTAATGGATCTGATTCTGCAATCAGCCCTGTATTCGTGCGAGCATAGTGGCATTGATTTTCTCCTAGGTAACAGACTGAGCTGTGGAGTATGCTGACGAAATTGTACTGCTAAGTGAGGATCCATGTAAGCTTTTCTAGACGGTTTGTGTGCCAGTATAGCTATGTTCAGGATGCGTCTTGCGCCTTCAAAGTGTAAAACGTGGCTACTGAACTGAGTCGGTCCAGCTCCCGACCGCAC